CCAAGACCCTTGGTGATTAAACCATAAGATCCTTTCTTCTCTGTTTGTGCTTCCGCTTCGAGGAAGGAAGTATTCTTGAAACAGTATGCGTGGAGCTGTCGTGTGATTCAGTGGAAGATTGATCATTCGTGCCGATGCTTGACTGTTCTGGTGCAGGGCTGCCCAAAGACAAGTATCGCTTTTCGACTTGATCAGCCCAAGAAGTCTGATTGGCGCTTGATGATTCAGAATCACTGTTGAACAACTCGACAGTCCGTCCACTGCGATGCACTTGTCGGTTTGAGGGACTCGGAGGAGTTCCTTGCTTCGCATTACTACCAGTACTTGGATTCGAGGAGTCGATACTGGAGTTTCGTGCGTAGGCCGACTTGGGATGCTTAGGTGATAGCGAGTCGGGGATTCGTCCAGCATTCCATCGGTCGCTTTTTTGCAATGGTCGTGACCTTGGTCGTATACTGTTTTCGGACGTAGTGTCCATTCGAGGCGGCTTTGGACATTCAAATGCATGATGTCCAATGCGATTGCAGTTCCAGCATTGACCAGAGAATTGTCCTTGTCCTGGTTGTGACCTTCGTGAGTCTTCGCGAGTTCCCTTGAATGGCTGATTGATCCATTGGTTAATGGATGGTGAAGACTGCTGGTCAGACTTGGTCGACTGCCGCTGCTTGGTCTTCTTCCGTTTGCCTTTCTGGTTAGGACATGTTTGTTCACGTTGGCTGGGCATGCTATTTGCTGAAGAGGAAGACGTAGATGAAGTACTTTCATCGTCATCTCCTTGCCTTCTCTTGTCAAACTTTCTTTGGACAATGGCCTTGATTCCATGCCATTCTTTTTGACTGAGATCGAGCGATGCCATCAGCACTTCCTTCCATATTGATGTAGGGAAGGCTGTCTGATCGTGATGCGATGAATGAGTACGTATGGCACCAATTCAAATGGTATTCATGCCAAGAATATGTTCAGACATTCGATCGATATCCATAGGTTCGTCATCGTCTTCTTCTTCGGCTTCCTTTTTCTTCTGATCGACACGGTGGTCTCGATTGTCACCTCCGAGAAGAAGCTTGACAAGCTTGGCATTGACCAACTTTGTTACCAGTTGCTCAATCCGCTTTTGCATCTTCTTCGTGATCGACGGATCTTTTGAGGGTTCTTTTGATCCGCGGGATACGCGCTCTTCCTTCTTCTTAATTGAAGAAGTCTTTTTCTGCTTCTTCTTTGATGCGACCTGTACAGGCAAAGTTCGATCGATGTTTGGCTCCTTTGCGGGACATTGATTCATCTCGTGCCCTGGCTTCCTGCATCGATAGCAGAGACGTTTCTTGACCGGACGGCTCTGTACTTGTCCTATACGTCGTGTCCTGTCGACGTCCATTGCATTGGGATCATCTATATCCATTGAATCTCCTTCATTCATTGAATCGCCCTGATTCATATGCGTGATGAAATCGAAGATATTGCTTTTTCCCTTATGGACGTTTCGAAGGTCGTTGACTTGTCTTGCACTGTCGCAAGCATCCTCGTACGTGGTTGGAGGATTCGAAGTAAGGAAGACTTTTTCTGCCAACTTTGTTTCCAAGCCTCGCTTGAAATGGACGAGCTTGGTATAGTCGTCGTCGATTTCGGCGTAGCGAAATAGGATGTCGAGATTCCCAATGTAATCGTCGACTTTTCCTTTCTTTTGCCTACACTGATTGTCGAGTAACGTTTGCCATGCTTGGTCCTTGGTTGCGACTCCTCCATACTTTTCTTGGAGTGTCATCCGAAAGTCACGATAAAGTCCTAGATCATCCGATCTTCCTGTAGATGCGATCATCGCTGCTTCCCATGATTCGACCCATTTTGCTGCTGCCGAACCAGGTTCGAAGTG